GGCACAGCCTGAAATATTTTCAAAGGGAGGCCCACCAAAAAAAGTTTGAGAACCTTTGGACTAACCAATAAAGAAATATTCCGAATCAACAACTTGAAAATTTGTACTGAACAACTAAGAGACAGTATTTGCCAAGTAATCAATAACAATTGACAAGATAATCAAGAACCAGAATGTAAAGATTAATCATTATGAATTGCATACAGTATATACTAAATAGTCAAGAACATCAGTAAAAATACATTACTAAATAACTTAGAATTAGTTCATACAAAATCAAGACTAGTACATGCTAACTAAACAAAAGTAATACACAAGATGAATATATAATGAGATATTTCTCAATCAATTAAAGTAACACAAACAATCAAAGTCCTTGCATATCAAATCAGTATTTAGAATGAACTTGCTTAATATAAAAAGATTAGTTGATAATTTTATAACGTGTTTAATTAGTATGTTTACTCTGACAAGAAAATCTTACTTTTAATCTACACATGCTTCTCTGCATAGAAAGTATCTACTACAATTCAGTGTTGATACCTTTTACCTGTAGTTGTCTCTTAGAAATAGAAATATATGTATAAACTTCTCATAGCTTTAATTCCAAACTCTTTCTCTCTCTCTGCTTTAGTTTGGGGCTTCTGTTAATATTAGTAATATATATATATATATTTTTTTTATCATGTGTAACATCAGGAATGGGATATAGATTTTCATGAATTGTGCATATATTAGTAAACTTTTAATAAAACTAATGAAGGCTGGTGTTTCATGAAAGTTTATAGTAAAAACTGAAGCCTACAGTTTGTGTGTGATTAGAAATAGCATAATATTAGCAACAGGGAAAATTAAAACATGACCATTATGATTATTATAATTAGACAGTAACTTGTATATCTCTTACATACAACACCATAAATATTGAAATACTATGTTATAGAAGCTCTAATCATGCAGATTCATTTTCTGAATGATGTAGCATGTTATCTTACACAACTGAATTGTGAAGGAGATTTTATTCTGTTTTATTTTTTTGGGGAAAAAAACCTCTTTTGACACTTTTCATTCAATTTTAAACCCCTTGTTTTTACAGTTCTTTGGTTGAACACATTGCTTCTGGTGTTTTGCATTTGCTTATATATGTAACTTGTACTTTTAGTTGAACATCCACTGACTGTTTAAAATTCTTGTATATTGTCTTGGTAGCTCATGTCTTCATTTTAACACTCATTCATTATCACTGATTCTTGTATTTCTTAGTATTGGTAACTGATTGTTTTAGTTAAATTTTTTATTGTTTGTAAGTAATGCCTTTAATTGATATACTAAAGATTCCTTCATTGAAAGTAATGGAACACTTTAATATTTGTCTTACTGTCCAGTTTCTGATGTCTTTATTCAAGGTTTCAAGTTGGGTATTTGATGTTCTTTGAAATTCCTGAACTATTATTAGGGTCTATTTTTTTTTTTGATAGGGAACTGAACTTTGAATTGTTCTTCAGAGAGTCTACTCACACATAACATCAAGTAATTTTTATATAGGTGCTTCAGAGTTTGCTTTTTATTGTTTGTTTGTTTACTTCAATCTTTTATTTTTCTCAATTTGTAACAGCTTTTTTTTTAAAGAATAGTCAAATAGCTATTCAATTTTTATTCACTTGTTTGAATTATTTTATATAAGTTCATGAGCTTACCTTCAGAAATTTCAAATTAAATTTGTACCTAAGAGGTTCTTTTTGGATACTTAGATAATTTTATGAAACTTGGATTGAGTTTTCACACCAGTAGTTTGACTTATCATCTAATCCACAGTCTGTTTAACCTTTGCTTCCATGGTTCTTTCAACCCTTTGAAAAGGCCAGTCATTCAACCACCACATTTGATTTTACGTGGTGGTGTTATCCTCACTCATAATGTAGACTTTTTATTGAGTGTGTTGTTACAAGCCCAGTTGTATGAAACTTGTGAATCTTTTGGATGTTTCCCTTCCAACTAATCCTGCTTTGTGTATTTTCATCTCAACTGAATGTTTTTTGTTGTTATTGTTTTTTAACTTTAATTCCTAATCTGACACTATCAAGTTTCTTGAGAGTTAACTTGAACCCTTGTAATAGATCTATCAAAGTTGAACCAGTACTTTTATCTTCCATGTTTTGAGACAAGAGGAAATCGGAGAGATATGGCTACTTCTAGGAAAAATAGTTGATTGACATAAATGTGTATCTGCTCATCCCTTTACAATTAAAGACTTTTGTGTTTGGTCATGAAAACAAAGTAGCTTAGCTTTTTACTTTTCAATTTGGACCTGCCATATCTATTTTTACTCAGATAGCACTGATCTGCATATAGAAGAACAATTTTCATCTCTGTTCAGACAACTAAACATCCATTCATTAACCTGTAAAAAAACATTTTTTTTTACTAAAATCTTTTAGTGGATACTAATTATGATAATTCAAAATTTCATATAGTTACTGATGTCTTTATTTAGCCTCAGTCAATTAGCATACTTTGAACACTAGAGTTACTCAACATATGTTTGAGTTTCTTTACCTATACCTTAAAAAAAAAGACAATTTTCTAGTCATTTGTTATTTGCTATCCCACGAACAGCATAAAGGAAATTCATACGTGTTGTACAGAAGTAATGTATACTCAACACTATTAATAGTAATGAAATACATGGTGATTCAAAATATTGCCGAAGAAGGAAATACTGCAGTGACCCCTGAAAGTCACGGATATACTAGATGACACTAATTGACATTTGTAAATTAACACACAAAGAATTACTTGTTGAATAGCAGATGGCAAGCCTCTGGTTACATCATTGAATGTGATGGTTACTTGCTACTTAAGATCAGTGGTATCTTGTTATATCTAGCAAACTTTGTGATTTATGAATCCCCATGTGCTAATATTCATTGGCATGAGATCGTATGAGCAAAGTAGCTCAGCAACAGAACCATCTCAGTCAAGTCATGAATGTGGAAATGTTGCATTCTGCCATTTATAGACAATCAAAGAATAATATGGGATTGTCCTGTCCTTCTCTTGCAACACTATTGGTGCTAGCTCATCCAATTGGTCTGTAAAACATGTGGGAATATGCCTTGCTTATCATACTGACTTTAAAAAAAAGGATAAATTATTCTGTCACATAAATCATAACAGATGACTCTTGCTCCTTTGTAACATGCATTCAATGGGGATTTTTTGTACATTAATAACAACCGTTGTAGCAGTTCATTATACAAGTTCTATGAAAGTTGGCTCCATCACTGAAAAGGATGCAGGGTGAAAAAGTTTCCCCCTTACTACTTGAGTTTTAAGCAACTATTACCATCATGAACAGTAACTTTTGTGAGTGAAATATGATTTTGTCCAAGATATTCTGACAATTGACTAATGTTATTTTTACTTACCACTTGTTGTTCTGATTTCTTTTATATGTCACATTCTATTTTTCTTGAGCCACTTCACTAATTTTAAAATATTTCTTTGCTCTGGTTCCTAGAGTCTGGAAATTTTTTGTTGAAGTTCCAAACTGTTTGCTAATTTCATTTTGCCTTTTGGTAAATAGAAGTCATGAATAACCTTCTGACTTGCCAAAGTTTAAATTTTTTTTCCAATTTTATTCAGTTGAGATGAAAAACAAACTAAGAATATATTAATCCATATCATGTGATACTTTGAATTATGATCTCTGTGTTACAAAATCAAAACATGGTATAACATTGTCACTGTGCTACTTATAATTTCCCTTTTGTGAATGTGTTTGGAAAATAATTTTATAGATACATAAATTATACCAAAACGTGAGAATTTAGTTGCTTCTTTAAGTAATAACTCATCTTCATTTGAATTAAAAAAATTATTGCGAATAGTTTAAACTAATTCTAACTAAAAATTTGTCTAAAATGAATGATGATAAAGTGTGTCCAGGACAAAGAACTTTCATTCAATATTTCCTACAAAATGTAAATGTTTATTGTAAATTAAGAAATATGTATTTAAATGCATTGTGATGTTTGTTTCTCAGATTCATCTGTTCCCCTGATCACCTTAAAATGACAAAACCTTGACAACTAACATCATGTGTCTTCAAAAACAACATTAATTATATGCCAATATATGTGTTGTATTCTCTACAAGTTAGGTAAACAATAGTTCTTTATTGTTACCAGATTTTACATTGGTTTTAATAGGACTAAGTAATGAAAAACATCAGTGTTTTTTTTCCATTGGACACAAAATCCTGAGGAGCAAACATCAATGTGATTGCAAAAAATTTGTACTGAATAAGAATTTACTTTTAACAAATTCTCATTGAATAAGCTTTACCTTAAGCACATCTT